GTGCGTGTCAGGGTCCCACCCCTGCAGCAGGGGTTTGGCGGGCGGGGATCCAGCATCGCTGACACGGCCACCTCCCCCCGCAGGCCCTGCTGCGGCGAGTGGTGTGCCACGTCCGCGCCCTGGTCGTGCTGCCCACCAAGGAGCTGGCCCAGCAGGTAGGTGAGCCCTGCGCCGTGGCCTCAGCTGCCGTGCCGGGTGTGGGTGTGCTGGGTCCCCGGTGACCCAGACCGGGCTGGAGTCCTCTCTGCAGCAAGGGGGACAACAGAGGACCCCAGGTCAGTGACAGACTCCTTCCTCCAGGTGAGCAAAGTGTTCAACATCTACACAGACGCCACACCTCTGCGAGTTGCCCTGGTTACGGGACAGAAGACACTGGCCAAGGAGCAGGAGAGCCTCGTCCAGAAGACGTAGGTTCCGTGGGGCAGTGGGTGCTCGGGGAGGGTCCCAGCTCGAGCGCTTGGGTGCACCGAGGCGCACGCAGCGGGGCGGAGCAGCCGCTGTGTGTTAGCGGCCGGGCTCCTGTGAGCAGCTGCCCACGCAGCCGTCTGCCGGTTCCAGTGTGGGGGCGGGGTTGGTGCCCTGGGAGGGGAGGCAGGTGGCATCTCGCTGTCGGAAGGCCCTGGGCAGACCTTTCTGTCGAACCACGCTGCCGTTACAGAGCAGACGGCTACCGCTGCCTGGCCGACATCGTGGTGGCCACTCCTGGCCGCCTGGTGGACCACATCGACCAGACCTCGGGATTCAGCCTCCAGCAGCTCCGCTTCCTGGTAGGTGCCCGTCCCGGAGCCTGGGCTGGGAGTGAAGGGCTGACCTTGGCCGGAGCCTCCCTCCACCCACCACCGGCTTCCCACCCCCAGGTCGTGGACGAGGCCGACCGGATGATAGACAGCATGCACCAGTCCTGGCTGCCCCGGGTGGTGGCCGCCGCCTTCCAGAGCACGGGCCCCAGGGAGCCCCGTGCCCTGCTCCAGAGGAGGCAGCTCCAGGCCGAGACGGCTGCCAGGTACGGAGCTCAGGAGCTGGCCCTGGGTGGAGGCTGCTCTGCACCCCTCTCTTTCCTGCTGCCCTGGGAGGAGGCGGGAGTGAGTTCCATCCCGTCAGACCACGTGCGGCTCGGACACCCCACCCTGGCTGGTGCGGGGAAGCCCGTCCTGGGAGCTCAGGAGGGCGCAGACGGCTCCTTCCCACGCTCCCCACACCCCTCTCTCCTAGCACCTGCTGTCCGCAGATGCCCCTGCAGAAGCTGCTTTTCTCAGCGACTCTGACCCAGAACCCCGAAAAGCTGCAGCAGCTGGGCCTCCACCGGCCCCGGCTTTTCTCCACGGGTGCGGCGCACAGGGGCCCCGACGACGGGGACGTGGGAGGGAAGTATGCCTTCCCCGCGGGGCTCACGGTGAGTGGGGCGTGTGCGGGGTAGGGCGGCACCCGGGCGCCGGGGCTCCCGCCAACCCCCGCGTCTCCCGCAGCACCACTACGTGCCCTGCAGCCTCGGCGCCAAGCCACTGCTCGTGCTGCACCTGGTCCTGGCGAGGAGCCGCTCCAGGGTCCTCTGCTTCACCAACTCCCGGGAGAACTCGCACAGGTGAGGCCGGCGCTCGCTGTGGGGGGCCTGGCCCCGGCGCCACTGGGCTGCAGCCGTGTTTCTGCCCAGGCTCTTCCTGCTGGTGCAGGCATTCGGGGGCGTGAACGCGGCTGAATTCTCCTCCCGCTACGGGCCTGGCCAGAGGCAGACGATCTTGAAGCAGTTTGAACAGGGAAAGATCCAACTGTGAGTGCCTGGGCAGGGCCTGGGGCTCTGGAGCGGGGCGTCCGCCGGGGTCCCTCTGCAGGGCCCTTCCTGCGGGAGCTGGGCCTCCTCTGCCCCCAGCGCCACGCGGCCTGTTCCCAGAGCCACCCCCACAGGGCCGGGTGCCGGCGTGGGTGTCCCTGCCCCTGGCATGGTGGCCCACAGCGCTGTGTGTCCAACAGCCTCATCAGCACAGACGCCACCGCCCGCGGCATCGACGTGCGGGGCGTGGGGCTGGTGGTCAACTACGACGCCCCCCAGTACCTGAGGACCTACGTGCACCGGTGAGGCCCGTCGCACGGGGCTGTGGGTGGGGTCGGCCTGGAGACAGACCCCCGTCAGGCCCCTGGAGGTCAGAGGCTGCTGCCTGGAACAGCCGTGTTTGGTTTCAGGGTCGGGAGAACAGCCCGAGCTGGGAACGCCGGACAGGCCTTCACGCTGCTGCTCAAGGTGCAGGTGAGGCCGGGAGGGTCATGGCTCCTGCCGCCTGGTGCCACGGGGCCGCCTGGGCCCCCTTCCCACACGTGGGCTTCCCTCCAGGAGCGGAGGTTCCTGCAGATGCTGACGGAGGGCGGGGTGCCCGCGCTGGAGCGGCACGAGCTCCCCAGCGAGCTGCTGCAGCCGCTGGTCCCTCGCTACGAGGAGGCCTTGTCCCAGCTGGAGAGGACGGTCAAGGTGAGGGCTGTGCCGCTCGGGTGGTCTCGTGACTCCAGCCTCGGGGGTGTGCAGAGGAAGGGAAGGGTGGGGGCGGGTTCATCCTGGAGCTCTGGGGGTGGAGGAGCGCGTGAGGCTGGTGAGGGGAAGGTGCTGAGCCCGCCGTCCTCTCCCAGGAGGAGCGGAAGCTGAAGGCGGCCTACGCTGGGGCTCAAAGGCCCAGAGGGACCGACCCCGGACAGCAGATGCTGCCTTACCCTCCTTCAACAAGAACCTCAAGCAGTGGACGCCGTACGTGAGAGACGACGGGATTCTTCAGGGCTTCTGAGCGCACGGACGCAGCCTGGAAGTCAGCTCAGGCCTCGGGAGATGCCCGGGACTGAGATCAGCGTGGGTGAAACCGCGCACACTGCCCGGCACAGATGGAACAGCACCCCCAGAGACGTGGTGAGCACAGTCCCCGTCTTCCCCGCGTCCCTCCCTGGTGCGGTCACTGTGCCGGGCACAGTCCCGCTTCCTGAGCCAACACAGACGCTGGGACAGCCTTTCGTGGTCCATGTCATCAACCCAGGGAGGTGTTGCCATCATTACGGGCGTCACAGACCCCAGAAGGTGGCTGTGTAGTCAACAACGTTCTACTTTGTGAGGAGCCACCGCCTCTGTAAACTCACAGGAGAAGTTTTCATTGCAAATACGGTGGAAAACACACGTCGGGAGCCTTGACCACTGTGAGGAGGTTTTGTTCTGAAAATTTTATAAAAAATAGTCATGAACTGTGATTCTTTTCTATGGACATACTTACCCATTGCAGTAAAATAACGTGAAAACACACGTTCTTGCCACTGAGATCCGCCTGGAGTACCTGTGATGTCACCTCCCAGGTGCAGGCTGAGCCAACATGAGAACAGGTACCACGAGGGCAGGAGGAAATGCTGATGGGAAAGTACACAAGCTAGAAATCCCAAACTAAACAAGTAGAAACACAATATTCTCCTACAAAAGGGGGTTTCTGTTGTGTGCAAGCTGCACACAGCACGCCCCAGACGTGCTGGAATGTGGCTGCAGGCCTCCTGCCCGGACAGGTCCAGCTCTGGGGCCCGCACTGCCCCCCTCCACCCGGCAGGGGCCTGGGCCTCACGGGAGGGAGTCTGGGGCTGGGACCTGCCCGGGGTCCGACACCCCTGGGGCTGGCATCTGGGACGGGACAGTCACAACCTGCTACTTACTGCAGTAACTTGTGCAGAGCCACCAGGGCTGCAGGAAGCGCCTGAGCTTGCTATTGGCCAGCTGGTCTGACACGTCCCTTGCGGCTGTGCCTGGACCTGTGTGTTGGAGAGGTGACAGACGGGGTTAGTGTTGAAACAGCCGGACCTACTGCTTTCATTGTCCCGAGTGAAGACAGACCTCAGAGGCTACAGACGGTCGGCAAAATGGGAGACGCGGCCTCTGCGCAGCTTGCGCTCGGGGTGCCCGGTACGTCCGTTTTCCCTGGTTTATGGGAAAGCATCGTGCCTGGAATTACAATTCTGTTTATGAGACACAAGCAGCCCCCACTGACCAGGCCTAGTTTCTGGTCACGGAAAATGCAGCCGATTAGAACCAACCTGCAAAAAGGGTGATGAGGCTTCTCAGACTCCCCAGCAAGACAACCACACTGGCAAAAAGTTCAGAAAATCAGCCACTAAGGTCTGGGAATTGTCCAAAGGAGCAAAGCAAATGGAGAAACATTTGTTCAGGAAAATCTAAGAGTCTGTTGTGTTCAAGCCACACGTGTCCCCGGCCCCCAGCTCAGCACCACCCAGGCCAAGACGCTCCGCCCCAGTCATCAGGGACGCCCCTACAGACAGACAGACAGACGGGGGCAAGGACGTGGGAGGGGCACACTGCTGGGTGGGACGTAAAGTGGGGCTGCAGTGGGTGACAGTGGGGGTTCCTCAGCGGGTCAAACAGCGTCACCTGGCACCCAGCAGGTCCACTCCTGGGTGTAACCAGGAGACATGAACACCTGTGTCCACACAAGGACCTGCACACACAGGTCACAGCCTTGATCACTGTAGCCAGAAGTAGAAGCGTCCACAGGTCCCTGAGCTGAGGGACGGGTAGCAAACAGGAACCCACCCAACTAGACAGAGCAAGGCACGACACGGGCTACGTGGGTGACCCGTGAACCCACCACGCTGAGTGGGAGCCAGCCCCAGGGGCCACTCTTCTGTGACTCCATTTATACGGAGTGTCCAGAGCAGGCAGGGTGACCAGCCACGAGGACGCAGTTCCTTCTGGAGATGGCAGAAATGGTCTAAACTGGTGACAGCTGCGCAGCTCTAAACATTTTACTGAAAACCACTGAACTGCACCCTATAAATGGATAAATTGCCTGGTATGAGAATCACAGCTCAGTAAAGTGCTTTCTTTGTTTAAAAAAAGGCAAAAGTCCAGGTGTGGTGGCTCAAGGCCTGTGATCCCAGCACTTCGGGAGGCCGAGGTGGGAGGATCACTAGATGCCAGGGCTTGGAGACCCTCCTGAGCAACATAGCGAGGCCCCTCTCTACAACAAATAAAAAAAGTTTTAAATCGGGCTGGGTGTGGTGGTGGCACCTGTAGTCCCAGCTGCTCAGGAGGCTGAGGCGGGAGGATCACTGGGGCCCGGGAGTCTGGGCCTGCAGTGAGCTGTGATCTCGCCACTGCACTCCAGCCCGGGCGACAGAGCGAGACCCTGTCTCCAAAAAAACATAAACGGCAACAAAAAAAAAGGTAAAAGATGCTCATCACTGTCAGAAAAGCAGTGAGAGGCACACGGCCTCTCTGAGCTGCGAGGGTTGATGAAAGCCGGCTTGCCGGGCCCCGGGCTGGCCTTTCCCTTTGCGGTTCTGCATGGTGCCTGGGAACAGGGTGGCCCTGACTAAAGACGTGCGGCTGAACCTTTGTTTTCAAATAAATGCCGGCAGAGCACAAAATCCGATCACCAATTACTGCGTAGTGACGACGGCCGGATGCCGCTGGGTGCAGACGCCACACGGGCCCTGGACTGACCAGCACGTCCCAGAGGCCCGACCACGACACAGCGGGCAGCTGCCGCCGCCACGAGCCCCTGGCGGGCTGCTCTGCGCAGCGGTCCTCCCGGCGGGGTGCAGGAGAGGTTTAGGGGATGGGTGGAAAGTGGTTTGCGAGACCCCAAGGAGGGCGCTGAGCAGGGAGGCGCAGGGCGCCAGCGTCACGTCTTACCGTTGTTAAGGTCATAAGGTCACTCACCTGCTGGGCAGTGGCTGCTACCTGCTGAAGGTTCTCTGCAGGTGTTTGCTTCTGAGCCGCCGGAGGGGTCTTGGCCACCTGCGCGAAGCACAAAGGCCGTTGCCCCGGGTGCCACACCTCCTCCCCTGGCTCTTGGGGGAAAGGGGGTCTCCAACAGAAAAGGACAGCAGGTGCGTCTGCCACCTGCCGTGGGGCAAGGACAGCGGCCCTACCTGCATCTGGCCCTGCACTTGCTGGGTCACCGGGGCCTTGGGAGCCTGAGACACGGGGGCCGTCACACACGGGGTCTTCGTGCTGGGCTGAGGCATGCACCTCACTTTTCGTTGTGGGCTGGTCTGCTGCTGGGTCCGAGTAGCGACTTGCCGGGTATTTACCTGTAAAACAGAGACGGACCTCGAGAAACGGGGTGCAGACCGCAGAGCCCCCGGGGGCCGGCAGGGCCCGTTCTGGGACCCGGGAGAGTCCAGGCTCAGCCGAAGCTCGAATCTCAAGTTTGCCCTTCAAGGAGCTTGACGGCGTGGCCAGGAGGGCGGGCCCAGTCCGGCCCGTTGGAAGGTCACGTGCTTCCCGTCAGCCTGGCCGGTGTCCCTGGGTAGAGGCAAACTCTGGGGCAGTCCGCGACATGCACTCAGCCAGGGTTCACCGGGCACAGTCCCAGCGAGAGACACCTGTTCACGGCTGGTGGGAGGAGCTGCCTCCGTTCCCGTCCTGTTGGGGAGCCGAGGGCGTCTCTGGGGGCGGCACGCAGCCGGCAACACTGGCCACACCTGATGCCCGACGACGGCGGTTCCCCAAGACACTGATGTTGAACAGGAGGGAGGCACCACCTCGCTGGACACACGGCTTTGCACGCCCAGACCGCAGGAGCGGGGGACGGCCAAGCCCGCAAGGACGCCCCGTGTGGCTGCCGCAGACCGGCCAGGCGCAGGGGCCCCAGTCGGCACCACTGTCTGCCCGCGGGGGCTCCCTGGCCCAAGGGAACACGAGCGGGAGCAGCAGGGCGGGGGGCTGGCCTCTCAGGCCTTCAAAAGCACAGTCTGTGTCTGGGTGGGGAAGGGGAGGAAACGGCCCTGCAGGTAGCAAAGGTGCTCGGACACCCAAGGACCCTGGACCCTAGAAGGCGCCTCCAGGCTGCCCCCGACCGGTCACAAAGCCAGGGCAGGCGGCGAGCGCCGGCCCACGAACCCAGCTCTCCCCAGACCTCCCGCCCCAGCCGGCGTCGTTGCTGGCCTTGGCCTGACGTCTCTGGGCCGGCTAGTCGGCCTCCGTGGTGGACGCCTCAGCCCCGGCCAGGCCATTAGCTGAGGCACAGAGAGGTCAGCTGGGACCCCCAGCAAACACCCGCAAGGCATCCTCACGGCCGGCCGTGCCCTCGTGCCCTCAACGCTCCTGCTCTCGGCAGCACCAGATCCTGCACCCGGAAAAGCCCAGGTGTGCAGGGGCTGCCACGGGTGGGTGTTCTGGGGGTGGCTGCTTTGGGGGCCCCGGCACTGGGTGAGCAGCTCCCCCAGACCCCCACCTGGAGGTGCAAACCCTGAGCCGCCCTCCCCTGGCTCAGGGGCCCTAACCCTGAGGGGCTCCACGTGGGAGACTCTGCCCTGAGCAGAAACGACGGGAAAGGTCTCAGTGGCGCCGCCTGGCGGCTGTGCGGTGGTAACAGGAAGGTGGTGCCTGGTCTCGTCCTGCAGCTTCATCCATGGTTTTGTGCATTTCACCTGCGGTGTTTTCAACCTGGCATTTTTAGATGTTTTGTTGGATAATGTTTTCAGGGTCTCCAATCTGTCATATTACCCAAAACAGGAGTCTTTGTCCCCCAGAGAGCAAGTGCATGCAGGGATGGCTGGGCCACCTTCTCGGCCGTCGAGCCACGTGCCCCTTCAGTTCTGCTCACACCGCTGCCCCGTCAGGGAGGGGACGAGCCCGGCCCTACGGCCTGGACCCCCGGAGGCCGAGTAGACGCCGGCTCACTCACCTTCTGCGCGTTGGGGCCCGGGGCGGCCTGGAGCGGCGCCGCTTTCTGCTGCTGCTGGTGTTTGAGTTTTAGGAGCCGCTGCACGACCGCGGTCTGTCCTCCTGCGGAGACAGGAAAGGGACGGATTATGGACACACGAGACAGCCCCGACCCTGAATGGCCGGGCGATCACACCCCCAGGCTGCCGGGCTGCTCGGAAAGTCAGTAGCCCAGCAGGGACCTGGCGCGCAGGGAGCGCCGGCGGCCCTGGAGAGACACGTGCGCACACTGCGCCTCCCGAGACGAAACAGGCGCCTCGCGCTTAGGGGCGCCGCGCTCCACGCCGCTGCTGCGCAGAGAGCGGCAGGCGAGGAACGGGGTTCTACTGGGGGAGTCGTTTCGAGTCTCCTGAGTCAGACCCGGCCAAGTACCTGTGGCTTTCTGTGGCTGCCCTATCTCGACGCTAGTCCCCGCCATGCTGACGGGAAGTGCCGTGACCGCGGCTGAAGACACCACGGCGGCCGGGACGGAGACCACCGGGGGCTTGGCCAGAGCAGCCTGGGCCGTCTGCGGTGCGGGCACCGACATCTGTCCCGGGCCTTGCAGCTGGCAGGCGACTCGAGTCTGAGTAAGAAGAAATGGGGACACGTGAGCTCTGCGGTGTCGCGTGGCGTGATCCTTCCTTAGCGGTTAGAACAGTCAAACCGCCTCGGATACTAAAACCCACGATGAAGGAAAACTTACGAGCTGGGCCACCTGCAGGTTGGCCACGTGGTGGGGCTGCGGGGACGTGACCGCGGTGAGCTGGGGCTCTGCTGCTGCGGGGGCTGCAGTTCCTGCTTCTGGAGTCTAATCAAGTGCTCCTGAAGAGACAAACAACACCCGTTTCTCTTCTTAGTTGGCAAAGGCATTTACACAAACCTGGAGTTTACGTCTTCTTCATTCATGCTTTTAAAGAGGCTGTCAAAGACAGACATCTGGCTGTAATCCCCGCACTTCGGAAGGCTGAGGCTGGAGGATCACTGTGGCCAGGAGTTCAAGACCAGCCTGGGCAACATAGTGAAACCCTGTCTCTACAAAACACTTTAAAAATTAGCCAGGTGTGGTGGCCCGTGCCTACAGTCCTGGCCACTCAGGAGGCTGAGGCAGGAGGGTCAACTGAGCCCAGGAGTCTGAGGCTGCAGTGAGCTGTGAAGACGCCAAGGCAGTCCACGCTGGGCGACACAGTGAGACCCTGTCTCTAGAAAAAATACATATTCAGACATACACATCAACCAGATGTTTTAGACGCCCTCACTGAATAAACCACCTAGGTCGAATGTTCGGTACAAATATAAACACAGAGCAGCTGCAACCTGTACACGTGGACGTCCTTGCACCTCCCAATCCTATCGCACCATTCCTGGGCCTTCGCGTCCACCACGGGGTTCAGGTCGCTGTCGTAGAACACCACGGTGTCCGCCTCCACGAGGCTGACGCCCGCCGAGCAGCTGTGAGTCGAGAGGATGGCGCAGAATATCCGCTTGTCTCTGTTGAAACTCCTCATTAACTCCTGAATGATAGAAGCTCATTGGTATCAAAACTAGTTAGAAGATAATTACAAGTTTGAAATTAATCTAGGTATCAGAGTTATCAATACAAGTCCCTCTGAAGTCAACCATTTCAAATGAATCGTAGCCAGTGAAACAGATTGTTCCAACACGGGCAGCAGCCTTGTTCCCTCTCCTAGAAACCAGTGTGGCCTCCCGGGGCGTCCTGGGCACCGTGGGGGAGGTCACGGGGCCAGGATGGTGAAGCGGAAGTGAAATGTCATCTGCCATCTCCGCGTGGGCCGGCAGGAGACAGGGAGCAAGGACGGCGCAGGGGGACCTCAGCAGTGACCAGGGCTGGCGGCCTCCCTGCTCCTGTGCGTGGGGGGCTTCCTGACACGCTCCCCACAGACCCCTCTGGCTGCCTCAGCCCATGAGCCGGTTCCAAATGACTCATACTACACTTTTCTCATTCGGCATCAATCAGCATAGTTATAATAAATTATAATTAGCATTAATTGCTATTATAGACTATTTGTTGGACACAAGTGACTATATATTTTATTATTTATAAAGAACATAAATACTGATTAACAAGCTTAAACCTAAAAATATTTTACTATAGTCTATTAAAATTATATTTAAAAATATGCATTTTGAAAGTATTATTCCATAAATATTGTGAGAGGAAAAAATGAAAACTTTATTAATTTGGGTGCCTCTCTATGGCATTCTAAAGTTTCCCAGTAACTTAGTGGATTCTAACGTCCTTTTTCCTCATCCCACAGCTGCCGCCCCGTCGCGAGGAAAAAGAGCAAACCCCATTCCCCACAGCGAGGAGATTTTGCCCAAGTGGCCAAAGCTCCAGAGCCTGGCGCTCTCTACCCCTGCCAGGGGCCGAACACAGAGCAATCCGTGCCCCGGGAAATTGTCCATGATAACAGATCGGTTGGCGATCAGTGGAGGCCAACAGCGGGGTAGGATACCAGCAGAGGAAGACCAACCAGAAATGTAACAGGAAGATAAGGAGAAGAGACAGGCAGGGCCTGCAGAGATCACACTCCTCCCAGGCGGACGACAGCCTGCAGGCCCAAGGCCTGGAGAGGAAGCTCAGAGCTGCAGTCCCTGGGTCTGCCTGGGGCAAAACCGTAAACGTCTTGAACCACAAAAGCAGGCTGCAACCACACACAGATCTGACCGGAAGGGGTCAAAACCCGACTGGCTCTGGAGCTTTAAGCACAATGCCTGACCAGTCAGTGGCCAGCCCCTAAGTGTGCAGACGGGGCAATCCCAGGACGATACTAAGTGTGCAGACACAGGGCACCCAATGGGTGAATTTTATTGCATGTGAATTATATCTCAATAAAGTGCCTGAAAGCAGCTCTGGACTGGACAGAAAGACTACCGGTTGTTCCCCAGCAGGCTGCTGAGCAAAGGAGCTTCGTCTGGAGGAGCGGGGAGTCTTTCCCAGCCCATGGAAGACAGGGCCCCAGGGCAACAGGTCCAGGCCTGAACAGCTTTGCTCCCACCGGCAGGGTGGTTCCTGCATTCCTCGCTGCCTGTGCACGTGTGTCTGTCATCAGACTCTCCTTTGGACCAGTTTTAACATTGCATTGGTTCTCTCAACTAATGAGTTAAAAATCTTCGACACATGTTCATTTAATAGGTATACGATGAGAGTCATGATTTTGCCATTTTCAAAGTTATCATTTAACGCCTGCTACATACTGCTTACAAGAAACTCGCTTAAACCTAAGTAAAGGAAGGTTGGCAAAGAAGGCAACGGGCAAATGCAAACAGGAAAGGCTGAAGTGTGCGTCAGTGTTAACGTTAGACAAGCAGAGATTAAGGACAGGAAGGACGTCACAGAATAAAAGGTGCAATTAATGAATATTATATAAAGGTCACAAACCAAATAATAGATACTGTTTCGACTGCTTTTGAAACGTTGTTTAGAAAATGTCCTAAGTCATAAAATGATTAATATAAAAGTTTTTGATGATGCTAAAATTATATATAGATGTAAAGGAATTAGCAGTAAGTTTAGTAAGTTCTTTTAACAATGCAAATATTTGCTGAAGTTAAAATTCGCACATTAATGTGAAGGATGCAGAACCGTGCACCAGGCTGACAGAAATCCTTCCCAACTGTTGGACAGAGAATGTGGAAGCACCCAGGGCAGATCTGATTTAGTATTTTTGTCTGGTCCAATTCTTAAGTTCACCTTAACGTGCATTTGCTTATAAACACTCTCCAGCTTAATTTACAGATGTATCTGTATGAGGAATAACTTAGAACTGCAGTTCTTCACCATTTATGGCACTTTCCACATAGTCTCTCATTTAATCTTCCAATAATAGCTTAAACGTGGGCTCACCTTACCTGACGCTGTTCGTAGTTGGCATAGTCATTGATCCTGATGAAGGTCAAAAAGTAGAAGTTCAAAAACAGCACTAAGATATGTAACATTAAAATCATCTGAGATAGGCCGGGCGCGGTGGCTCACGCCTGTAATCCTAGCTCTCTGGGAGGCCGAGGCGGGCGGATTATTTGAGCTCAGGAGTTCGAAACCAGCCTGAGCAAGAGCGAGACCCCGTCTCTACTAAAAATAGAAAGAAATTAGTAGGACAACTAAAAATATATAGAAAAAATTAGCCGGGCATGGTGGCGCATGCCTGTAGTCCCAGCTACTCGGGAGGCTGAGGCAGGAGGATCACTTGAGCCCAGGAGTTTGAGGTTGCTGTGAGCTAGGCTAACACCACGGCACTCTAGCCCGGGCAACAGAGCAAGACTCTGTCTCAAAAAAAAAAAAAAAAAAAATCATCTGAGATATAATAAGCACCCGCCGGCCTTCAGACTTCGGTTTCTGCAACAAGACAGCCAGTGCTTCCAACTTGCCTGTTGTCAGTGAAACAAGACACACGTGTGAGTGGGCAGCCCCTTCCCCCCGCCCCCCACCACTGGCAGAGCCAGGCCCCGGCCCCGTCCCTCACCTGAGTCGTACTGAACCAGCCGGAGGTCGGGGAACTGCAGCAGGTGTGGGGCCGAGATCTGCTGCAGGTACGGGGCCAGCTCCTCCCTGAGATTGTGCCCAAAGACCCTCATCTTGTGGCTGTAGGATGGTGGAGGGTTGGCGGCGTACAGGCTGGGGGGGGGCGGCGACCACGGCCGGCAGCACGCGGAGAACCCTGGAGCAAAGCGCTGCAGCTTTAGCTGCCTCACGGGGAGGCGGGGGCGGCTTTTACCTGTGGCTTTCTGAAACCTCGCACTGCTCAGTGTCTTGTCTGGGTGGCTGAGCTGCTACCCCACAGGTGGCCTAGAGTCCAAGCCCTCACTCACCCGCGACTGTCTCTCCCCACTGGCAGGTCACCGTCGGGCGCCAGCGGAGCTGGGACGGTTAGCGCTAGTGGGACTCCCACGTGGCACACCCTCTGCCCCAAGGCTGCCACTGGGTGCGCGTGGGGCGGGATTACTCCAGTTACCTCTAAATGCAACTCGACCCGGCACTGGGGCCCTGCTCTGTCGGTTTGAGGCTACAGTATCGTACGCGAGACGCTGGGCCCTGAAAAACTGTGATGCTGCTGCTAAGTGAGGTGCAGGCAGAGAAAACAGTTGCCGCGTGCGCACTCGCGTCCAGCCCTCCACGGCCTGGGGGCGGGCGGGCCTCTGCGCTGCAGTCCGGCTGTCTCCACGCCTCCTGCGTGGCCTCCCCCAGGGAGCTCAGCACGGACCAGGATTTCTCCAAGCCCCCCCAGGGGACACCTGAAACGTGGCATCTATTAAGTGCTATCGACATGGCTTGTGCCTCAGGCCCGAGCTCGGACTCCCTGAACGCTGAGACTCCACTTCCCACCCCCGGCGCAGTCTGGCCTCACAGCCCCGCCCTGGGGCGTTTGCCAACGGTCGGCCTTGGCACTGCCCCTGCTCCGTGGCTCCCCGGGACCTGCCAGAACAAGGGGACAGACTTGAAAGAATCCTGCCTCAGACTCCTCCACCTCCTACCCTGTGTAGTCCAGTATCCTCCAATCTTGCTTTCACAACGAGAACATATTCATTATTACTCATATAATTTTTAAAAACAATAAAGCAGCAAAACGGTTTTCACTTCTCTGTATCACATGGAATTAACCTGGACACACACGAGTGAGTAACCCCTTCCCAGAAAGTCGGTGCTTAAGAAACCCGCCCCTGGGGGCTGCAGTGTTTCCTGGTGACGGGTCAGTGAGCATCAGGACAAGGACAGAACCAGACCCGGTTCCAGGCCTGGGTCTCCTGTGATGCTACGACTGTCAGCACACAGGTGACGATTCCAACTCAACACTCACCAGTTACTGAAGACACAAAGGGTATAAGCTAAAGTCAGTTTCAAAAGCGTGCAGGGAACATGTAAGAAAGCAAACCGCAACCACATTTTCTCCAAGTCCCTGTGTGGGCAGCTTAAGGGACGAGGAAGTTGCTTCTATTATTTACTAAACAATTTCTGCAACCTTATTATTTTTCGATTTTCTGATTAAAATTTTAAGGGGTTAAAAACAAAGTATCATAAAGGTATTTCAGGGACACCAATTTGAAATGCAGTCTGTAATTTCAAACCAGCTAAAAAAATCTACCAGACCCAAATTAGGCTAGTAGGTATCTTTCTAAAAAATCAAAATATCAAATTCTTTTATGAATCTTGACTTATTTTAAAAATGAATAACATCGCAAAAATACATAATCATTATTTCTGGAGTAGAATGCCGGAAAAAATTCCAGAACTAGAAAAGGTAACTTATGGAAATTGTCTTTAACACTTTAGTTTAAAACACAGAGTATTAAAGCCACACAAAAAGCCAGTAAATCCTAGAAGCATTTTAAAAACCTCTAAAGCCACCAGGAAGAAGTTAATACCTATTTCTCAAAGTAAGCATTCTGTTCTCAAAAGCAAAATAAGAATTTAAATCGGCTGAAACGTGCTCTCCGCGCATCATTGCGAGGCTGCCTTTTCGTGGCGTCCTGCAGGGGGTCGCTCTGCGGCCAGCGTCAGGCACTGCGGGGGGTCCGCTGATGGCTCGGGCGCGTCCAAGCACGGGCAGCGGCTCCAGGGGCCTGTCCACCCCACTTACCTCCAGAGAAGTGATGTGGGGGGACCTTCCTTTCCCCAAAAAACGAGCAATTTCCCAGTAAGTCTTGGCCGTACGCTGGAGCTGTGGAACAGCGACGCTCGTCACCAGAAAACATTCTATCCAAACGCTCCTTTGAAAGCCTTCTCCTCTCCTCCAGCGACTCCTGCTCCAGAGGCAGAGAGAGGAGACAGAACGGGGTGTTACCACGACACGGGGTGAGAAGCTCTGCGTGGTAAAGCTACGTTTTGGCCTGCAAATAACCTCCTGCCCACGAGAATCACGAGGGACTCGTGGGTTCCGGGGAGGTGGCAATGTGCCCGCGCTGGGAGTCACCTGACGAGGCTCCCCGCAGGCCTTGGCGGCACTCCTGGTTCAGCCGGTGACAAGTGGGCACCGGCGAGTCTGTTTGGTGCGCCAGCTGGGGAACAGAACCGTTCGGACTCTACGGCAAACACCCAGGAGCCTGCTTGGGACCGTGTGCTCCGCAGCGCGGAGAGCTGGAGGGGACACGTTTCTGCCCTCCAGGGATTTATAATCTTGGAATGATCAATCGAGGTGAAAGAAGAGAAAGGCTCACAGGCTGAAGCGAGCGGAGGTTACATTTTCCTCACACAGCGGGCGGGTGTGGGGAGACCAGCGTCCTCCCCAGCTCAGGAGTCGCTGGCGGGTTACCGGGGAAGCGAGGTAAGCGCGAGGTTTTCTGTCGTTTGGTCCTGTCCTTGCCATTTTTACCCGGAAACTGCCTTAGGAGGAGACTTAGGTGGAGCCACATCCCCCTCCGTGCCCCTCTTCTCCTCTCTGGAAAGGGTTCCACCTGCTCCTACAGCTCTTAGCACCGAAATATTAACATGTACTTGTTTCACCTGGTATCCCAGAGGAGCGTTAGTTAGGCTCTTTAAGAAAAAAAAAAAAAAAAAAAAAATCTCCTTTTCCTTAAATCCCAAACAGCTGAGGCTGGGACGAGGCCATCCGACGCGCGCAAAGTACGGAGCAGCGCGCCCGGCGCACAGGCCGCTACCCGCCCCGGTCTCGCGCAGAGCTGGGCGTGGGCAGGGCGAGGAACCGAGACTGCGGGGTCTGCTGTGTGCTGAGCTGTGTCCCCCAAATTCACACACTGAAGTCTAGTGTCGCTGTGTCTGGAGACGGGGTTTTATGCGGTAATTAAGGTTAAATGAGGTCAAGGGGTGGGACCTGGTCCGAGGGAGAGACAGGAGAAAGGGTTCGAGCTCCCTCTCTAGAGACAGAACCAACCGCACCGCCCGTCTTGAGTCCTGGCTCTGCCCTCACCAGCGGTACACGGGTGGGCGACTGATTGAACCTCTCCGTGCCTCAGTTTCCTCATCTGTGGACGGGAGGCCCCGGAGCAGCACGCAGCACCAGCGGTCCCAGCCGCCACCCGTTGCGTGGGAGGGCAGGGGTCACAGGGGTCACAGAGACTGACCTGGCGCAGCGAGTGCTGGGGGGTTTCCGAAAGCGCAGGGGAGCAGGACCGGCTGCGACATGCTCTGCACGGCGACGGGGCCCGGGGGCCACAGGCACGGCTGGCCGGGGGCCGACAGGATCTGCAGGACGCTTCCTGCGAAGAAAGAGAAGTTACTGGTTTCTGAACAATGTGATGGCAGAGATTTATAATACTGATCACTCTCGCGTGTCTTAACTAAAAATGTTTAACGTTTTAACTGCAAAACAGGATTCCAAGAGTCCTGTTTTTAAAATAATTGCAGCTAAGGCATTATCACCAAATCCATGTAAAGGAAAATATATTAAAAACAATTTCAGGGCCGGGCGCGGCCCTGAATCCTAGCTCTCTGGGAGGCTGAGGCGGGCGGATCGTTTGAGCTCAGGAGGTCGAGACCAGCCTGAGCAAGAGCGAGACCCCGTCTCTACTAAAAATAGAAAGAAATTAATCGGACAACTAAAAATATATAGAAAAAATTAGCTGGGCATGACGGCGCATGTCTGTAGTCCCAGCTACTCAGGAGGCTGGGGCAGGGGGATCGCTTGAGCCCAGGAGTGTGAGGTTGCTGTGAGCTAGGCTGACGCCACGGCACTCACTCTAGCCTGGGCAACAGAGTGAGACTCTGTCTCAAAAAAAAACAATTTCAATATGGCTCATTTACACAAAGTTCTAGAGAAGACTAACTCAGTCTCCACTGACAGGAAGCAGGGCAGAGGTTGCCGGGGGACTGAGGGGTGGGAAGACCAGGAAGAGGCACCAGGCACCTTTCTGGGGTGACGAGAATGGTCTAGATCTTGATTGTGTTGGTGGGTGAGTGGCTGTAAAAACTTGGCAGCACTCCTAAAGTGGGTGCTTAAAATGGGGACGTTTTATTGCATTTTAATTATAACTCAATAAAGTTGATTTTTTTAAATCTCTAGTTTGAAAAAATAAAAATAGTTTCAAATTAACCTCAACAATCACATAAGAAGCATGATAAAAATAACCTAGAAAAGCTAAGTGCTGTCATACCCTGCCTTCATGACCCTGTTTATGGAAGAAATCAGTGTTGACAGGAGAAACAAGTTCTGATCTATTGGTGACCAATTAATAACAATGTATAATGTATTTGAAAATTGCTAAAATGGCAGATTTTAAATGTTCTCGCCACAAAAAAAGGGTATTTGAGGTAAAGGCATGTTAATTAGCTTGATTTAATCATTCCACGGTGGGTGTGTGTGTGTGTGTGTGTGTGTGTGTGAGAATACGTATCTCTCTCTCAAAACACCACATTGCATCTCACAAATATATACAATTTTTATCAATTAAAAATAAATTTTAAAAAAGGAAATTGGTGTTAATGTTTTTTGATGATTCTCCCCTAAAATCTTTAAGAAATTTGTATATAGCATATAAAAGAGTATTTAGAACCAGGAGGAAATTACCTATGCTAAATTATCATGACCCTATAAAATATCTAAAAGTTACTTCTCAGTAACTTGTTTGTTGGGATTTGATCACTACTGATCGCTGTCCAGTGTAAGGAGGGTTTTACTTATGACCTAACCGCGTGGAACACTCTCACGTCCCACACGCAGCTCCCCGGGCCTGTGGGCAAGAGCTGGGAAGGGCGTCCGGCTGGCGGAGCACAGCGGTTTCCCAGAGCCAGGAGCTCGGGCCTGCAGATGCGCTTGCGAGATACGACTGAGGCACCAAGGAAGACAGACGAGCAAGGCCCCTCCCAACACGTGTTCTCAGAAAGCACTCACGCGTCCCTACCCTGTCCCCTCCACACACACACACAACACACACACGCACACACAAATACATACAAACACGCACACGCAAATACACACGAACACACACAGATGCACAAATACACAAATACACATGAACACACAAATGCACACAGACACACAAATACAAACACACAAATACACCATGAACACACAAACGCACAAACACAAATGCACACCTACAACATAGAAACAAGTGGACCAGAGGCAGCGCCTCACAGCCTTGGGGCAACCATAATGCAATAGTCTCCCCTGTCGCGGCCACGTCACGCAGCCTCTCCAGATGAGGGCTGTGCAGAAGCCAGGATGCCTCGGGACACTGAAATGGCCCTACCAGCCGTGATCTCCAAATTAAATCCCTGCCCACAGGCACACGTGTGCTCTAACGCTCAGAGGCCACCTGAGCTGCCAGTGAGACCCAGGGACACGCAGGCAGCGCGATTACGACACACACCGCCCTGGAAGAACTCCCCCAAGTGACTCCACATAAAACCGAAGTGGTTTCTAACTCTGACAATCACAGCGTTGGTGGCACTTAGGCAACCGTCTTCTCTAGATTCAAAGATGTACAGTTATTACTATTTTTGGCTTCTGCCTTTTAACATCTCAAAAATAAGGCTGCCTGTTAAGCCTGCTGGCCCTTCGGGCCGTGGACCACAGCGCGGCGGGACCTTGCAGCTGCAGCGGCTGGCTGTGCGACAGCGTGAACTTGCTCCCCTGGAACTGCAGCGTCACCGGCGCCTCTGGCTGGGCCACTCGGCTCTGCGGGCCGGCGACGGACGCCAGCGGAGCTACTTTCACAACCTCGCCACCTGCTTGAAGAAAGCAGAGCAAGGGTAAGCTGGTCCTCGCTGGCGGCCGAAGTCTCTCGGTGACTGGGAACGCCGCCTTCCCCGCAGGCCACGCCGGTGCCCAGGAGGAGGGAAGAGAGGCTCTGCCCGACGTCTGGGCCACGCAGAAGACGTCTGAGGCAGATGCCAGCCCGTAGCTTACGTGCCTGAACCCGCGGAGGCTTCGCGCTGTGGACATAGGGAATGACTCCGCCTCTGGGGAGGGCAAGCCGCTGACACGCCGTGGCTATCACGGGCTGAACCGTGTCCCCCCAAACGCACACACGGGAGCCCCGACCCGTGATGAGACACAATGTGGCTGTGCTCGGAGAGGGGCTCCTGAGGAGGTAGCAGGGTTCACAGGGCCACGAGGGCGGGGCCTCGTCCCATGGGGCTGGTGTCCTGCTAGGAGTGGGAGAGGTGCTGGAGCGCGATCTCTCCGCATGCACAGAGCAGAGGCTGCGTGAGGACAGTGAGAAGGCGCGGCTGCCCACCAAGGAGAGACGCCTCAGAAGGACCCAGCCCTGCCCACACCTTGACCTGGGTCCAGCCTCCAGGACTGGGGGAGAAACCCCCTGCAGCTTTTGCCCAGTCTGTGGTTCTCTGCTACGGCAGCCACCCTAGCAAACCAACGCAGCAGCTAATGCAGCAGCTACCCTAGCAAACCAACACAGCGGTTACCCTAGCAAACCAACACGGCAGCTACCCTAGCAAACCAACATAGCAGCTAATGCAGCAGCTACCCTAGCAAACCAACACAGCAGCTACCCTAGCAAACCAACGCACAGCAGCTACCCTAGCAAACCAACGCAGCAGCTAATGCAGCAGTTACCCTAGCAAACTAACACAGCAGCTACTCTAGCAGACTAACACAGCAAACCAATGCAGCAGCTACCCTAGCAACCTAGCACAGCAGCTAAACATTACCATTTGCCAACAAGATACCTAACTGCGATACCCTAGTGTTGACCTAAGTGAGGAAACTGAGGAAGATTAATGGACTGGTGTGTTTGGACCAAGGCTGGGGACAGCCGGGAAGCCCTGGGCCGTGCAGTGGAGAACAAAGGTCAGGCTCAAGTGTTTAAAGGAGAAAGGTCGAGGCAGGAGAGGGCTACTGCAAAGGCTATTGTCAAGAATTCTCCCTGGGCTGGCGCCGTGGCGCAGGCCTGTGATCCCAGCACTCTGGGAGTCCAAGGCACAAGCATCGCTTGAGCCCAGGAGTCTGAGGTTGCTGCGAGCTAGGCTGACGCCACGGCACTCTAGCCCAG